CCCCCTGTTAACAATAGGTGTTAATTAGGTGTCAACAATAGCCATGTGATGTATCAGTCACATGGAGGCAGTGCTTAAAAGCCTGAATTTTGCCTGAAACTTCCTGTACCTGACAGAATTCAGTTTAAAACTTTAGTACTTGTTTTTTTATCTTAATGGCATGCCAACACCTGATCAGACCTCTGAGGTCCCCAAACCAGTTGGTCTTTAGGCTCTCCCAGATCCAGATAAAAAAAAGAAAACAAAACAAACATTTTCAGTGGTGGCCCCCAATTCCTGGAACAGCCTGCCTGTGCTGAAAACCCTGTTTCTTTCTCATTGGCTATTCAGTTCCTGTTGAACAGGACGTCTTGGTTTTAGAGGAAATCAAGGCTTGAGTGTTGTTGATCTCAGGCTGTGTTGTTTGGGCTCAGCGATGCATCCAAGGTCCACGCTGATCTGGATCATCTAACGGAACATCTGAGTTAGACGGCATCAAACCTGGGTGTAAGGCTGGATGACCTGCTGCTCAGATTAATTTAGGGATCAAATCACCAAAACAATTGGGCCGAGGTCAGATCATTTCTTTCACGGCATCACTTTGAGCTTTTAATCCATGCTTAATCTGGACTGTTTCAGATGGTTGTAAAGGACTCTCTCTCTGTCACACTAGGCCAGTCATTATTTCTCACCTTTTAACTGGTAGCAGCCAAAAACAAACAAAAAAAGAGGTGGTCACTCCTGTTTCAGCATCATGGATTGATTTTAAAGGTTTTGTTTTCAAATATTTTCATGGTTTTGCCCAACAGTATCTGTCTGACCTGCTCCAGCCACAGGTTGGTCGTCCCAAAGACAGAGTTTTACTGTCGCTGCCCTCAWACTGTGCAAAAACTTTAGCACATTAGACAGGTTGACTCACTTCCTGTTTTTAAATTCTCACTAAATACACGTTTCTCCTTTAACTCAATTTAAGATGCTGGCTGTTACTGATTGTTTAGGTTAGCTATTTTTGCATTGTTTCTATTAGGTTTTGTAGTTTTTACTCTTGTTTTGAAATATATTGTTTCTGATTCTTGAGCTTTTTAAAAACTTTGTTTTCAATTGGTGGCGATTTTAAAGGGGGGTTTTATGCAAAAATTGTTAATTTTTTTAAGCTTTATCTCATGTTGTGTCGTTCCCTCAACAAAAACATACCCAGAGTGTTGCTTTGAATCATTCCTGCTTTTTTGAGGAATCCCCAAATCTCCCGTGGAGCTGCTCAAATGCTTGCTGTTACAAAGCTCCTCCCTGGAACTCAGTCCCCAGCCGAGCTTCTTCCCCACAGAGCACCCCCTCTCCTGAAGCAGTGTTTGAAAACGTCCTGAAGTGGGAGTGTCAGAAACGGTTGGAGGGTCGTCAAGAGACAAGTCAATTTCAAGGTGCATGATGCAAAGTCAAAATTATTTTGATACATACAGCCTTTTCATGACAACTGAAGGTAACATGGTTACTTGCTTGTAGCATAGAATTGAACTATGTGCCTGGAACATACCGTACATRAAACTCCCAGCCCCTTAAAGTGCTTYATAAATAAAGTTGTATTGTAAGTGAGATATTTAGTTTATTGGAATTTATTTTATTGTTGAGTTATTGATCTTCTACCCTGTATGAACTTTGGTCACCTGTTGCTGATTTTAGATGTCTTAAAGAAATCTAATTTGAATCTGATCAGGACAGCCAATGTGTATTTTTCAAAATAATATTTTAAAAGTACATTTAAMAGCCCTTAGCAGAACTTGTACACTTACAAATAACACACAGTGTTCTCATAAAAAAATCAACTGAACTGGGCTGTAGTGATGCTGGTTTGAAGTGCAGCAGCTGCTGCATCTTCATTTTCCTGCTCAGTAATGAAATAAATATGCACAGGAAATGGACCAATGGCAGATGTTTTGAATCAATCAGCTGATTAATAACTCTAGTTTACCATTTTAAAGTAGGTGGTCATCAGTCCTGGTCGTCTCTCTCCTGCATGTTTCAGACGTGCTCCCTTCTTCAACACACCTGATTTAAATGAGTGAGCCATTCTTCTGCAGAATCTGCTTTTGAAGCAGAGAAGCATGTAAACCATTCATGAGGCCCCAAGGACCAGGTTAGGGAGACTAACTGAAGTTACATGTGTGATACTGCAGCTTTGAACAGCTGGAAGGATGTTTTTTTACATGCAGTTCTAGTTTTCACCTTAGGTTGTCAAAGAATACTGTGGTTAAAAACAAAGCACTGGAAATGTTTTGGCCCAGACTTCACCTGTTTTTTATTTTATTTTATTTTTTTAACGGGTTTTGATGGATCACTTTTGTTCCCCTGGTTTCTGACTCACTGCTCCTTTTGGGAAGGGCGTAAGAGGAAACGAGAAAAGGGAGAAGAGGCACTTCTGCATTTCTGACTTTTAGAAACTGCAGAGGTCGAGAGGTRTAAAAAAACAGAAGCACTAAAAAACATGGCGTCATTCAGCAAAATTCTTCRATGTGCTTTCTTTTTTGTTTTGTTGTGTTCTCTCTAATGTTGAGATATACTGTACGTTACATCACATCGGTAAGAATTTATGTTTGCTGTAAATTAAAGAGTATACATCGCACTGAATTAAAAGCTTTTGATAGATTTATTCACTGAAAATTGAACTTTGAAAACTCAAATTTTCAGCAASCTTTTTTAAGGATTTTCATTTTCCACTCTTCTTCTAAATAACTGATAAGTTGGAGTTGTAGACTTTTAGCATTTAGTCGTTTTTAAAAGAAATTAAGAGTCAGTTGTGCCCCAACATTAACGAAGTTCATAAAAAAGAGGAACTATAGGCGCAGCCTATAAAGCTTGTGTTAAAAAAAAAGCAGAATAGAAACAGTGAAGTCCTTTTTCCTGTTTCTTCTCAGAGGTATAAATACAAAAAGAGAAATGACATATGACTTTCGGATTTTGCTGAATTTCTCAGAATGACAACGAGTCATTCTGCTATTTAAATTGCACTGTGACAAAACGGCATGAGCCATATTTAATCTCAATAATATTGCAATTATTTATGTTGTGCAGTCACAAAGAAACAACTCTAATCTGATATTGCCCGTGGATACGATCAAAACACACCAACCAGCCAAAGCGGAGGCTGTATACAAAATGTGCTCTCCTTCCTAGCATTGCTCAGCAACACGTATTTGCAAAGTTAACTCTTCCTCAAATTGAAACTTCACAGCTACTTGTTGCATGCATATTTCTAGATTTTTCATGTGTGTCAGCTGATAAGCGGAGTGTGATAAGCCTCAAGGTTGCGAAAAGGCCTCGAGCAGGTTCCTGTCTAATGAGATCTTTGCTGCGTGTGCAACATGGCTACGAGCTCAATGAGTATTTTTGTCTCAGAAGAGGGAGAAAATTTAAAGAATTCCTCTGTTTTTTTTTTTTCTTTTTCTCAGGTCTAGAGTGGTCCCGTTGCACCTTTTAGCAGAGGATGAGTCGTGAGTCCATGCAGACCCTCGCAGACCCCTTGTTACGACACAAGATGCCCTTGTTTGATGGGACGATGGAGTCCGTGGAACTCTCAAAGCCACAAGCTATGCCTGGTTTCCTGGGGAAGCAAAAGCTGCAGTACAACGGAGCCTATTTCACTTACGAGCCCTCGATGAAGGATGGTGCAGGATTCACCCCTCCTTGGGGCAACTCCAAGACCTCTCCTCTGGATGACAGGAGTCCCGTGAGTCACCTCCCTGGTATGGTGGTGCAAAACCACATGCTATACAGGAAAGATGGCATTTCTGCTGAGGAAAGCCTGTCTCGCTTGTCCCCTACATGTCACGCCCCTGTGAAAAAAGGTTTTATGCCATACACTAAAAGTCCAGAGGTCAGCAGTCCAGCCGTTGCCTCACCTGTCATTATTCGAAAACCAATGGCAGGAGGTGAAAGTTCAATCTCTCCATCTCAAAACCCTGTTTACATAGCRATCCCTAAGCCAGTTTATGGACTTAATCCCTGCTGTAATGAGCTGGGTTGTGTGATAGGACAGAGATACGGCGTGGAGCACGTCTCTCCAAGGATGCCCAACGACTGGATGCAAACCAACGGGCATTACGCTGAAAACCCTCCCAGTCAGAGGAAAGAGGTGCTGCTGCAGCAGAAAGACTTACAGTTTGAGTGCAGCGCAGAGCAGCTGAAGAGGATGACTGCGGAGGCGTACAGCCCAAACCGGGCCAGGACTTTACCTTCCATGATCGAAGCGAGTTACAGCTACCCCTGCGCCCCGACCCGCTCGCTGTTCAGCTCCCAGAGAGAGCACAGCGGCCAGCCTCTCCAGACTGCTCCCGGAGGCTACCCYGGCTTGTACGCCTCTCGTCCCACATACGAGCACAGGGCCTCAGAGGTTTATCAGGAATGCTCTCCTATGTCCAAATATGGTCAGCTCGCACAGCGCCCAGTGTTTTACTACACGCAGACAAACGGAGAGGTAGAAAGCAGGACACAGAAAAAAGACAGTGGCAGCAAGCACGGGGACGGTACCCGAGTTTTTCACAAACACCCACTCTCAAACCCTCAGGAGCATTACGCCGTGCCTCGGACACATCGCACCGAAATTCCTTTGTCTTGCAACGTTGAAATGTTGCCAAGTCATTCTCTCATACGGGGGTTTGACTATCCCTGTTACGCACTTCCGGGAATTCACAACCAAATCAGAGCCCCCTTAAAAAGGCAGCACTCGCTGTCAGCTTTTCACCCGAGCCACTTCAACGTGTCTCCAACCAGGCAGCATACAGACCACCCTACAGCCAAGGAGAAGGCCTGCGYGGGCCTGCACGTCAACCAGCTGCACAGTTCCTCGTCGTTCCTACGAGTGGAGCAGCGCAGCCCCACCAGGCGCGTAAACCCAGCGGACGCCTCGCCGTCCAGCGTGCAAGCCGGCACGTTTTTCCAGCCGTTCGCCGGCCTGCGCGTGGACGCGCCCGTCCTCCCGCCAGCCGGCGTCCACCTYGAAAGACTCTTAGAACATCCCTGCTGCGAAGCTCAAGTGAGACCGCCAAAAGGCCTGCCCGTTTCGGGTCACGGTCCGGATCGAATCCACGCAGCCGCGCATCACAACGCAAACACCCGCAAAATCATGTACTCGCCTGCCGCGACGACAGGRAGTAAGCACAAAGGGCTTGTCTCCCCTTCAGGACCCACTGATCAGAAAAAGTCCTTAAAGAGACGCATTTCTCGCTCATCCTCCCCTGTCAAAATAAAAGAGGAGGATAAGGATTTGTATGAGGTGGAATGCACCAACAAGCGACAAAAGGTGGAAAATGAGAACGTCAAAACGAGCCACAAAACCGACTCTCCTCCCATGCCAGTTATTAACAAYGTATTCAGCTTGGCACCTTATCAATCGCAGCTGCAAGAGCTGAGGGTGTTAAGTGCAGGCAGAGTACCTCAGAAATCCACTCAKCCAGAAGAGCAGGAAGAGAAACTCAGGCAAAATGTCAAAGAAAAGAAGCCTGATCAAAATGATCAGCAGCCTGTCTGYCTAGTTTCGAAAGAAATTTCCTTGAATTCTCCAGTAGAGAAAAGTGACACCGAAGTCTTTGACCCCAAAAGGGTTAAAGTAGAAAAGGTGGGTTTGTTAGATGTAGGCAAATGTAAAGAGAGCCACAACACGCACAGCAAAGTGACAATCAAGAAAGAGCCCAAAGACACAGGTTCACCTGACAGTGTACCCTCGACACTGAAAGAGGAGTGTAAATCGAATGAACCGGAAAGTAAGCTTTTACACGCAGGTGGAACGYCAACTCCAGATGAGCTGAAACCTGCTGAGGTCACAACACAAACAAACCCGTCTTCTCTAGAAGAAGTGCTGCACAAACAGACGATCACCCTTCAGCCGCAGTCTGTTACGCTTCATCCACCCGAGAGCAAAGTCAGTTTCAAAAGCATTCCCCCTCACTGTCTGAAACTTTCCACCTACAACATWATTCTACCTGACGGCAAACACTGCAGGACTCTTCCACAAGCAGAGCAGAAGCCATCGCCACAGCCGCTGACCGTGCTCACAACCCGACAAGAACTCCAAACGCCCGTCCGCAAGCACTTCCTCGAGCTGCACCAGTCGCTCTGCAACTTAATCACCGAATGTGTCTCGGCCTCTCCGGAGCAGGACCTCAAAAACTGGCTGTCCAAGCTGGAAATCACCGAGTCGGACAAAGTCCAGAAGGTGTCCTGCCTGCTGGGAGGACAGGCGAGAGAGGCGTGGATCAACGAGGAGATCAAAACGGCCCTCCGCGAGGTCCTGGAGCGGCTGCGGGAGTACGCCGCCCAGAGGCGCTGCCCGTTCCCGCACGTGATGCGGACGGGCGCCGTGTTCCTGCCCATGCTGGTGGTGAAGGAGCAGCTGTTCCCCATGGTGCAGAGCAGCTTCATCGACAAGGTGCTGCAGGAGCACAAGGTGGAGCTGCGACCCACCACGCTCTCCGAGGAGAAGATCCTCATCCAGCTGCACAAGCGGGCCTGCTCCTCCAGGCTCCGGAGGCTGATGTCGCTCAAACACCTGCCCGACATCTACACGGAGACGCTCAACCTGCTGTACTACACCTGCGTCTGCAAACACCTGGGTGAGTACACCTTCAGCTTGTTCACAAAGGCCACATGCAGATGCACAAGTGTAGCACAGGGCACACGTTTTTATTTGAATCTTATTTTGGTTTCCTTCTAATACCTGGAATGTTTTAAGGCAATTTATTTCTCCTGTAATTCAAATACAGTTGTTGCAACAAATTTTTATGATCCTCTCATGAGGAAATGTTGGGCATGGCTACGTTTTTTTATCCAAAACAAAAAAGCGAAACAGTCAAGGAATGAATGAATGAGGGTCATGTATTTAATGGACATGAACATGCATGTATACACAGAAAGGTCTGGTAATGTTTTACRTGTCATTTCCTCCTCCTAATAGCGCCCGTTATTACTTTAACAGCAGCTTTGTCAATAAACAACTACAGTTAAATAAATGATTAATCCTGTTTTGTTTGTGTAGAAAAAAAGAATCAGCAGCTTGACTGTTGTGAGAACAAAGGACTCCAAAAACCCCTGAATATCTTCAAGATGTAAATAAATCAGCTGGCGCAAAGACAACATATGAAATAGGATTTTTTTAATCTATTACAGGGTCATCATAGAACTGAAAAGGCTGTCGAGATAAAACAATGTGGTAAGGATGGGGGAGGGAACCATCACAAACTGGGTGATCGAATACACAAACRTTTTTTCTCAGGGTAAGATTTCAGACACTAGATCATGTAGCAAAATTATTAAAATATCCAATCATGGAATTCAGTAGAAAATGGAACAAATGAAAATAATGCTGATTCTTGCACCTTCAGGCATCACACCGCACTGGAACAGAAAACAACACTTTTGTGTATAAATTGCTGCACAGGTTATGAAACGCCTTTAGTTTGGTAACACAGTTTTGTGGTTAGGTTTGACTTCACGATTATAAAATAAAACTCAAAAACATCAGCCTATAAAGAGGAGACGGGGGAAAWAATGCAAAGAAGTGCCACAAAAATCTTAGAGGCTGAGCTCATGTGAAAAACTGTTGACTGATAATAAATTTGACATATTTATAAAAATCATGGACACCACATCCTCCAGAATAGGAGAAAAATTGAATTATCGTACTTATTGTTTACACATTTCTCAAATGTAACATCTGAGGTGGCAAGTCTTGCCCGTTCAGATCTTTTGAATCAAAGTTCTGTAAAAAGAAAAACATACTATGAAGAGTTAATATCTTACCTGTTGTAGATGGCTCTTGGAATGCCTTCAGTTTGCAGAAATCAGGCACTTTCATAAAACATGGCCACATAGAACCAGTCCAACCAGTAGCAATTCCAGCTGGAATATCCTAATAAAACTTGTTTCTGCCAGAACAACCACATAATGCAACGTTTACAGTGTAAAGGTTTAGGAAAAACAAAATAATGTTTGGATGAACTGCTTGAATTTGTGTGCTGTGAGTTTTAAAAACTGCCAAAATTCACTTTGGTCTTGGCCCAACTCTAACTATGCGTTAGCTCAGAAGTTGATTAAAATCAAACAGTTTCTCTGAATTGAGGCCCTTTTAGTTTTCTACAACAGGTAAGATATTCATTGTTTTTAGGTTTTGAACAAAATCCTACACCAACAGTCTATCTCTTTAAGATGAACTTATTCTAATATGTGGACTTTATCACAGAAGGTTTTTGTTATTTTAACAAGAAAGTGTCATAGAAAGGTTTTATGCCACGCAGGGATAGTTGTTCAAATTACACAATATATATTTATTTTTTTTATTATATTGTCAAAGAATTGTTATGATGATAAGTAAAGTGGTCTGTTTTTATGTGCATCTTTGCTTGGAGGTTTGGGTGGAGAATTTCTGCTACTTTCTTGTGCATCATGTAGATCTTGATACCCTTGCAAAACCTTTGAAAGCTGAAATTCTCAACTATTTGATATCAAYGCAGTGTGATCACAAAACACAACTTCCTTCCTTTTGCTTTCAGATTTTTATTTGGAAATCCCCTTAAGGTGCACAGTGTTTCTTTAAAAATTGAAATATAACGTTTTGCCTGCTTGTCTCATTTCTAGGCCTTTTYCAACCATCTCTTTTCCAGGAGTCAGATTGTCTTTATTTAATGGCCCTTTTTTTTTTTTAACAAAGCACAGTTAAGGATAATTATTCAAGATAAAATTCATTTATTTTTTACAGAATCAACGTCATCTGATGTCCAAAAGAGAGTCCAGGTATATATGTAAACAAWTTTTTTTTGTTATCCCTCATTCTCACCACGCTTTGCTTTATTTATTATTTCTGATTAGAAAGCAGGAAACCCTTTTTTTCTGCTAATCTTTAAAGGCAAATCACAAAAAGGTGCATGATTTATGTGTGTTGCGCAGATTTGGAGGGAGGGGTAGTGGGCTTGGCTGATTTTAGTTCTGGAAAACTCAAACTTTTACCTTTCACTCATTCACCTTTATGAAAAAGCTGGCAGGTGTGAGACATTATCAGGGTCTGCAAAGCCCCCTCTCACCACTGCTGTGCTCTGTAGTTTCAGACTAAAGTCGATGTTTAGGTGATGGTTCAAATCTTTTTGAGTTCTGTGAAAAAGGTTATGAACAATAAATGTCTTACCTGTGGTAAGACGCTGAATTGGACAATTAATTATGCAGACGCGAAGTTGACGGCAGTGTGAAAGTTCAGGGTGGACCACGATGAAATAGTTGAGATTAAAAATGTTGTAAAGGGAACCCCAACTAGTTGTAACATAGGACATTTTTTGAAAAACATTTACTTCAACTATAAATTCAAGACTAAAAATACTGTAGGTTGTTTAGTTTTTATAAACGTCATACGRGTGGCACCATATATACGCCACAAAGCATCTTAAGCAAAAGATGACCCTTAGTAGGTGTTTTGGTGCAACTTAAATTCAGCTCAAAKGTTAATTTTGGACAATATCTAATGTTCAGCCCTTTTAAACAAAATGGGAGCGTTTTGACAGAGAGAACGTAGAAATGACTTAGCCTGAAACTGAAAAAGCAGTTGGAGGAAAACARARCTGCTTCATAGGAAAACCTCAGCTTTAAGGTTTTAGCTTTCACGTTAGCTCCTGAGCTAATATATATAGTGATATAGCATAAGTGGCGTTAGTTTAGCTCGTGAACTAACGCTGCATATTTTTAGGGAATTAGTAACGTCATAGTCGAAGTCTAATGTCTAATGTTACAACTAGTTAAGGTTCCCTTTACTGTTAGCTTGTCAGTGCAGTCAGAAATAAGCTCTTCTTACTCCGAACTGAGCTCAATCACAGAGCTATCTACAGCATGTAAGAGATTAATTGTTCATAACCTTTGCGTAGYACCCCACTCCAATAAACCTGAGCTTTCCCTTTAACAATTTCTGTCTTGAGTCTTCAACAATGTTCATGACTGATTTGTTGCAATAAAATGTTATGAACTGATATTTAAGGACCACAAACACTGACGTATAAATCTTTCCATGTGCTTTTATATTACCCAAAAGTTACATCTTTCTGGGAGCTGGAAGCTTTTCCTTTTAAGATTATTTGTTGTTGAGCTGGTGTGACTCTGAGAATTTATTAAGATTAATATAAAAAATAAAGTATACGTGTTATAGTGAAATGACACTTTAACTGCTTTAAATCATGCTTTGTTGCAGTAAAATTCTTTTATCATCAGTATAGTTTTTTTTCTTTTGCCTTCACATCTGGACATTTTATCTTAAAGACCACATGCATTCGCTTCCTGATTCGAGCCTAACTGAAATCCTGTTCACCGCCCTGCCTCTGTTCTCGTTTCACACCCAGCTTGGAAACAGTTGACTTTGGGAACTGAACTTTGCTCCTGTCCTGCTCTTAACCTCGTTGCTGTTTTATCCCTCTGACTGATGGCATCCCCCCGTAGCAGCTGACTGTGTTCCCAGCCTCGGTGTTAGACTCCGGCAGCCTTCTCTGCACTGACAGAATGTCTCATGGTGGAGGATCACAGGACTCTTTGTTCAGTCACTATGTAGCGGCTGATTATCTCATTGTTTTTTGTGCATTGAAGCAATGCCCGTGGAGCATTAGTCTGTTGCACTGCTTTGCCTTTAAGGAATCTTTAGAATGCAAAGCAATTTTGAAAATGTTTTTTTCTTTGATCCAAGATCTCGATAACCCTTTTTCAAATCTCTGCCAACCAGTTTTTCCTGAGCACTAAATCAATTCTGTAAACTGCTTTAACCCTCTTTTCTCTTTTTACTGAAAACCCTGATTTTTCTCAGCTCTAAGTTTAAACACCGGTAGTTGTTCCGGCCTGCTCGTGATCACAGTGTTTTGTGTTGCAGGATTAAACGTGGATCCAGTTTACAAAGACCAAGACGGGAAGTCTGGAGCGCTGAACAGCAGCGGCGCTCCTGCGATTTTAGATGCCACCGCTTCCCCAGCCTCGCCTTTGGAGCCGCGGCGTCATCGGCGAAGCTCGAAGGAAAGGCCTCCCGACGAGAACACGACCAAAAGCAGAGCGAAGAGCAGTTCGAGGCGTGGGTTTCTGAGCAAAACTGTGGATGAGAAACGAGTGGGTGACGCCGCAGAGACCAGTGTTGAAAGCACAGAGCTGGACAACTCGTGGACACGTCCTCTAACGATGGACGAGCTGTCTCCCAGCGACGCAGAAACTGAGACCTCCTCAGTTGTGTCGCCCGACAGTCGACCCTCGGAGCCTCAGGTCCAACCCAGGCGCTGCTCAGGCATGATTCTCAAACTGAGGAAGATGCTCGGAGGGGGTCTGAAGAGAAAGAAAGCCTGCTACGAAGCGGTGTCGGAATGCGGGACAGCTTGCGAGTCTTTATTACCACACAGTGACGTCGGAGACGGGGGAAGCAGCAACAAGCGTCTGCAGAAGACACCCGAGGTAACACACAAGTGGAAGGGCAAAAGAAGCTTCTCGCATGCCTTCAGGTCTCTGGGCGGCACCTCTAACCCAAACCGCAGATCCCTCCTGAAGAACAAATACTGCCCCTTCCTGTCGGCCAGCCACAGGAGGCGCCTGGTCCTGCGCTCGGCCGTGCAGCAGGCTCGCAGGGCCATGAGGAGCTGCTACCCGGACTTGGTGGGGAAGAGGATTCAACATCTTTATGAGGAGGACGACAAGTCCGAGGTGTGGTACAGAGGGGAGGTGCTGCGCGTCCACGAGGCTCACGCCAACCCCCTGAAGACCATATTTGAGGTCCGGTATGACAGCGAGCCTGAGTGGAAGTACTACCTGGAGCTGCTGATCGATTATAAGAAAGGCTGGCTGAAAATTGAAGACTAGTTTTAGTCACGTGGTTACTGAGTGCAACAAAAGAGAATTAGTTTTTTTTTTGGGGGGGTGGGGGGGGGGTGGGTGGGTATGAGATCATAAGATCAAACTCCAAAACACCTTCTTGTAAACAAATTGTGAGAAAAGTTGTAAAAAGGAAATTTGCAGTAATGTTTATGCACACATAAGGGATATTTTTTTCAAAAATACAGCACCACAAAGTTGTCGATGTTTACAATCGTATGTTTTCAGAGTGATTTAATTTTATTTTTTTAAACCCATGACTTATTTTTTATTAAATCTTGACAGGCATTAAGGTACTTCATATCATGCTGCTCTATTTAAAGACAGATGGTCCAAGCATGTTGACTCTACATCAACACAATGACGTTTTCTCTACAGTTTTGTACGACTTTTTTTTTACTGAACTGTTTGACGGTCCTTAAGTTCTTAAATGTTTTATACCGCCTGTGTGTCCCCTTTTATTAGACTACAAATGTGCACAAGTGGTAAAAAAAAGGGGGAACTGTTAGCATTTTCCCCCCACTGTATTAAATACARCTGGTATAATTCAAAATTGTTTTGTCTGTTGTTTGGAGGTCTTCTAAAAACTTGTTTAAAAATGTGCAATAGCTTCAATTTTTAAAACCGGCAGCCAAAAAAAGCACAACTTTTAAGCTAAAAGAAGTTTGTCACCATCCTGTGGGAGAAAGCACAGCTGCATGTTTTCCACTGCACAACATTAAAGCTACTTTGTTTTGAGGTGAGTTTTTTTCTACTAGGAATAATAATAAAAAAAAAAAGATGCCACAACAAACATTTTGTCAATCAACCACCCAGGACAGAACGTTTGCAACATCTTGCACTTTAATGTTTTTTTTTCTCCAAAACAAACATCTACTCCCCCCCCCCAACATTTTTACACTAATAGGAAATAAAACATCTTTAATAGCATTAAAGAAAAAATATGTAGAAAAGTATTAAAAGTTTTTGGATGTCTTGTTTTTTTTTTTCTTCTTCAAATGCAGGTTCTTTAACTTCACACTTAGGAGTTGAGATGGTCGTGAACTAGCAGACTGAAAACAGAGTGAGCCCCGGAGAGCAGATGGAGCGAATGATTCCAGCTTTAGCTGCTGTTACTGCAGGATTAAAAAAAAGCCCACTTTTCATTAAAAAGAAAAAAAAAATAGTACAATCTGCAAGCAAACCTGGTGCACAAAGCTATTATTTAAACCAAAAATGAATACTCATTAAAAGTCAAAAGGGTTTTCTCGCTCTTGTGGAAGACGCAGCTCTGCCACAGTCTGTAGTAAACTATGCAACATACACAGTGTAGAAATGCTCCATAGATGTTTGGTTATTAAAACTCAAGACCAAACCTACTCTAATGACACACACAGTACTCCCAAACATGAGATTTCTTATGACATTTATTCAAATAAACAATACAGTTTATAATTTGCTAGGATAAAATAAGTTGGAACACATAAGAAGCATTTGGGATAGAATTCTCCCAAAGATCTGAAACTAGGGCAAAAGATGTATTTTAATGATGGCTGACACTTTGGTGTCATCCTTTCTGACTTGCATCAGTGCCTGCAGTAATCATGCCCCCCTCCCTCCAGTCAACCCTGTGAAGACATGAACCAGCATTTTATGAGCAGAGAGCTTGACAACCAGAGCAGCCATCACACAGAACAAGGTGAAACCCTGGAGGGGCACTGACATTTCAACGTTGAAACCTCAACCCACGTATGAAAAAAACAAAAACACTGTCTTTTAATGCAGCATTACAAAACACCTCTACGGCCTTTTAGATGYTTACCCTATATTCCTCATCTGCTTTTGGATGACTCCAGTCTATCTGCGCATCCTGGTTTAAAGCCAAGTTCAGTCTCATAAGTGAGGCAACAAGAGATCTCTTCAAAGAGCAACTTTCTGCCTCCCGCTGTCTAAGCGTTACCTGCACGAGTGATGTCAAAGGCCCGCCCCTCTTTAACAGGGGCGGGGCCCCCAAAGTTGTAGCATTAGAAAAAAAAAAAAGCTGTGCTGTCAGTACATTCTACCAACCTCGTTCTGTCCCCAAAAGTGCGAGCCGAGCTTTAGAGAGGACTTCCTCAAGCCACAACAGGAAAACAAGAAAAACAAAAAACGAGTGAATGTCACTCAGTTTGGCTCTTGCAAATAATTAGAACATCTCTAAAAACAACTAAGAGGKTATGGCAAAAGGTTAGAGAAGGATGGAGGGCCGTTACTTCCTACTTTACCTTCGACCTGCTTTAAAAAACAAAACAAAAAAACATTTACTGCTTCATGTTTGCTGTCCTGACTATGTGCTTTCAGAGTCCTTTATCTGATCGCCGAAAATAAGTACTTTGAGTCCTCGTTTGGAGTTACTGCTAAAGTGTAACTTGTGCACTGATCGTAAAAGACAGAGGATGATGGGACAAATGTCTTATTGCCAATGTCTCCAGACTCCAACGTTTTATGGAGCGAGTAAACAAACAACCTACATGGCAAACGCACACCCCTTGTTTTTCAAAGATTGGTAAAGAATAAATATTTCAAAATTATGCAAACACGTGCCACTCTTGCTCTTTTAACTTCCATGCATATGGACTATTTACAAATTGAAAAATACAGACTTGCTGTTTTGTTTTTCTTCTTCTTCTTCTTCTTTTTAAATTTTTTTATATGTTTTTCTTCTTTTTCCCCCCTGAAATGTCTTTGCCCCTTTACAATCAGCCCACCAATATTCAGCCACCTGACAAGGCTTTCACCAAATATTGCAGACATGGCCAGGACAATTAAAGCTGTGTTGAAAACATCTTCACACTTATGGAAAAACAACAACAAAAAAAAAAAAGTTAAACTCAAAATGGAAAAAGGTTCACAAGCAGAAAAAAAAGAAATAAAAATAAAACTAAGAAAATAAAATAGTTTAGAGGAGGATTACAATACAGGCCAAAAGATATATTTGTTAAAAATGGATTTTTCTGCTTTCTCAAGACTCCACTCTGTTCCTAACAATACTGTAGTACACTTTTATTACTCTACACTTTCTTTAAATATAATTTATCTTAAGATTTTTGTTAAACAAATCCTGGGGGGAAAAAAAGATGCAAAAGTGGTTGGTTGCCAGAGGAGAGGCGGCAGAAGGCCCGTGCTGCCCTGTTAAATTGCATCAGCGCTCTAGTTTGTCAAGATACTCAATAGTCCGTTGCTTTGGGACGTGTCCTCAATCCTCAATGTACTCCCACAGGTCCTTCTCATAGCCTTCATGTACATGCTGTAGCAGCACTCTTCGCCTGCTCTCACAGTATCTAAGATGCGAGACATGTTTTAGAAACCAAAACAGCACAAATCTACACCAAACCGCATTAAGATTCTTCCACTAACCTGTACTTATCTTGTACTTTCTGCTTGATGTCCTGCAAGGAATCCTGGGAGATGTCTCGCTCTAGGTAGCCAGACAACACCTCTGTGGCGTTTTCCAGGTCCGCCTGGTTGTTCTGGAGAATACAGATTTCACAGGCATGATAATTAGAAATCATAACATTGGTCAGAACAAACAAACATTTATCTATACTAATGGTCTCCAAGATTAAGAGGATTTAGAAAACAAAACTAGGGCTACGTTCACACTGCAGGTCTTAATGCTCAATTTCTATTTTTTGCGTGGTTGTTCAATAACATTGTAATTTAAATGCATCCTCCACTGTGAACAATCCACAGCCCTGAGGTGACCCACATGCACAGAAGACTGGACCTCACACTCAGCTCGCTGTGTTTACAGAAGTAAACATGGATGCTACATGTTAGCATGTGTGGACTGATTCTGAAGTTGTGCAACCAGAGCGTCTAAATTATTATCTGCCTATGCTTGTTTCATTCAATGTTTACATTTATCTTGCTGCTTCCTGCCTACTTAGTTGCAGAATTGCATTTCTTGAGCGGGAGGGAGTGAAAGTAGAAAGAAGCTCAAGTAAGGACAGTAGGACACTATTTATTTATTATTATTATTTAATTTATTATTAATTAATTAATTATTAATTATTATTTATTTATTTCTTATTTGTTCTTAGGCTGATTTAGTATTTTACCACCACACAAACTGTACTTATGAAAATAAGTTGTCCTAGTTTCCATACCGAGCACAACGATTTACATTTATGACACACAACCAACAAATGCCACCAGTTAACTCACCTCAAAAATAATGGACTGGTTGTTCTTCTTGAGGTAGAAGGCAAAGACGTAAGTGAACATGAGCGTGGAGCGACACTGGCACAGCACATCGACGGCCTTCTTCAGGAACTGCACCTCAATCCAGGACATGTTGTGGTGCTGCATCTCCTCCATCTTCTGCTTCACCTGAGCGTAGAGCTTGTGCTCAAAGCGCAGACTCTGCATGTGGTTCATGTAGCGGTTGCAGTAGAACAGGTACCTCTGCAAGGCTGCCCTGGAGCGCTGCACACACACCAAGCAGAACTGGCTTTAACCCAACAACACATTCATCAACTTCTGATGGGTTGTCTTCACAAGTATAAACAGCAGCAGCGCTTACTCAGCTAAGTCTTTATATAGTTAATGGTAAAAATTAAGTGGGCATTTTATTATCAGGATCGTGTAGAAGCTTGTTGGACTTGGAGCAAACCTAATCGAACGTTACAAAAAAACATCACCTTGATCTAGCTTTATAAAGAAAACTGCATGCAAACATTTTGAGTGTAAACATATTGATCACCTCTTGAGCGTCTCTGGCAGCCTTGGCGTCGTCTTCATTATAGCGGTTGCAGTTGTACCTGTAAGGTTCAAAACATCGACAACTGTAAAATGGATTAAACATATCCTTCAAAGATAAAATAAATGTAAGCAGTTTGTGCTTATGTGACATCGACATTAAACTCAAATGTAATAAGATCTGATTTAGATTTATAGAAAAGCAATAAGCATGTTCAACTGTTGTCAGAATAAAAGGTAAGTAGATGCTTCAATAAATGACTGTAAATTCTATCCACAAAGTTGTACAGAATGTATTCATATTTAACTCTTCAATTTGCTTTTTAATTACTTGAAGACAATTTAAAAGCTGGGAATAAAACATGAAAAAATGAAAGGTGGAAAGGAGTGATGCTGTGGCATGTCCCRACTGAAGTTACACTATAACAGGTTGCTCCAGTCCTGGTCCTGGAGGTCCGCTTTTCTGCATGTTTTACTTGTTTCTCTGCACCTGATTTGAATGAATGGGTGATTGACAGGTGTTCTACCATGAGGAGGTAATTTAAAGTTGTGTTGGAGCAGAGAAACAAGTAAAACATGCAGTATAACGGACCTCCAGGACCAGGATTGAAGAACCCTGCATTATAACATCATTAATCATAAACAAAACATTTATAAGCTAAGAAACAATTATTCTTCAGGAAATAAGCAGTGGATAACTGTAACCTTATTAGGACAATATGACATGATAAATCATTCGTTACCAGGCTGAGCCGTGAGGTTCCCATGGGCCCAGACAGACCCAACAGAACTCAGCTTTGCAGTTCTGGTTCCGACAAACCATGTGATTGCAGCCACCATCTTTCTCAATGGTCACATGGCATTTTGGACACTCCTGTCATGGTTAGGAAAATGGCATTTTTATAGGTGACGTTGCAAATCAATAAAAAAAAATAGTAGCTTTTGTTAGGGGATATTTTACGTGATAAGACAAAAATAGATGTGGTTTATAAAAAGGAATATGTTACATGACCTACTGAAGTGTAAACAAGATGAGTACTTCTGACTGGTTGTACCGATGTGCACAACATTTTCCTGCCAAACAGACAGACAAAAAAAGACAAAAAGGGGAAAAAAAAGCCTGAATCTTTACCTTGGTATTTGCAGCGATCCAGTTTGAAGTTTCACTGTCATCGTCACATTTTTTAATCCATTTTCTCAGCCACTAAACAACAGCAACCCAGAAAAACAACATAAAGTAGAATAACAATAACCATGTTTCAATGCTCACCAACATAAGCAGAATTCATCTCAAAAGGTAAGAGGAAAGGCTCAGTGTTTTCTAACATACCTTACACTTCACAGGATCGTGCCAATTCTCTCCACAATTGAAGCTGCAACAACAGAACCCATTTCGACAAACTCAAAACAATATTTAGAGATTCAAATAAATAGTCAATATTCTCGGTCAGTTTACTATAATCTGAAGGAGCTCCTTTACCAGAACTGACGGCCACACTTGCATTTCACTGGCTTGGCATCTGGGTACTGGACTTTGATAACGTGATGGCAGTCAGGTGCAGGGCACCACTTTAACAGTCGATTGCACTAAGAAAAGTTAAGAAAACAAATAGCAGGTCTTGGATACATAACCCATTCAGTACAATGTTTGTTTCAATTATTGAAATCAGTCCACACCAAACAGACTGACGTTCAGATTCTTGTACACTTTGAGAACACAGCTCTACAGATATATAGCAAATCAGAAACTTAAAACAAGTTTAACCATAAAATATAGATTGTGAAAATGACGTCAGCAACTTTTATCAATGTCAGCGGTGTCAAATCATGGTCATGCACATTTTAAATGTCCCTGCTTCAACACACCTGATTCATTGACGGAATTACCTCATCAAGTTCTGCAGAAGACCATTAAGCATCCATTCATTCAAATCAGGTGTGTCAGAGTAGAGAAACCTCTAAAACATGCTGGACATTGGCTATTGTTGACCAGAGCCTGTATTTATCAAACTTTAGAGTGGATTTTTGTCTTAAGTGTCAAAGAATTCTCACACCCAGAGTTAAGTCTAAGTGCCAGTTATCAAAATTTTTAAACCAGATATTTAAGACTGCTCCAGAGGACTCAAGTGGTTAAGAGTTGCCACTAGTGGTCTGAGAAGACAGAGATCACACAGAGAGCACAGCTGTCCTCCTCCCCACCTGAGAGTTATTCTAAGTTATAATGTACAGAGCAACTAACACAAGGTGTGGAAAACAGGTTTAGTCATTGAATACAAACGAAAGAAGGGTAAAAATAATAATAATACCTGTGTGCATAATATTTCTGTGCAGATTTTGCAGCTGGTAAGTGCATGCAAACAACCCCATTACGGTGGGATCAAACTTTCCTTTTATAGTTCTTTCTTTCTTTACTTCACGGAATCAGTAAATTCCATTAAAAGAATCTGTAGAACTCTCATACCATACACTGATGGAGTGTGCGGTCCGGGGCGGGGGGGTCTGTCGGAGCGGTGTGTAAAGGGGGGTGTTGTCTGCGGGCAGTTTAGTGGAGAGGAGGAGGAGGGTATGAGCTCAACATTACCTCAGGCTCTGAGAAGCAAAAACTTTAAGGACAAGTTTTTGAAAAAAATCTGCGAGATTTCTTTACATGTCTGTATTCATGATGCAAATGAGGACATTTTATGTAATTGACAGAAAAACCGGTACAATGTGACATGTATGAACATTAGTGTGTTGAAAGTGAACTTATGGGATTTTCACAGTTTTATCTTGACATTTCTCAGAGAATATTCTTGAACAGGAAATCTGAGGCAGTGATTGGTCCATGCYGGGGGTGGGGTGGGGTGGGGTGTAACGACGTCACCCAGGATCAGCTTTGCAGCACAGCAAAGTGTCGTAAATCAGCTCTAAGACTGACACTTAAGAATTACTCCTACACTTCGCTTAAAGTGAGACTGAGACACTTGATAAATGACTTTTACTCTCAGCTTTTAGCTAAGAATTTTTTTTTACAATTAAGTCCACTCTTAGCAGCATTCTTAAGAGTAATTCTAAGAAGTTTGATAAATACGGGCCCAGGATTGGTCACCATTGATCTACGCAGTTTGAAATGTTGTTTAAAGTCACAGACATGTTTTTAAACTATGGTATTTTAACCAGAAAACTGAACTGTAAAGCTCTATATCTTAAAATACAATTTTGTACTAAATTTCAAAACCCAAAACTTACCTCTACAAAACTATTTGTGATTAAATGCTGGTACTTCAACTTCACTTTTGAATCTGTTATGAGGCGCCTGGAAAAGCACAAACCAATTGACCAAGTAAAAAAATAATAATTAAAAGAATTTAAGTTTACACAGAGTTGCAACAGTTTTCAGTTTTTTAGTGTTCTCGTAAAACCTAATAACTTAAATTAAATTTCAATTAGTCATGAAAAATTGGGAGAAAGTGAACTTTTACACATAAACTATAAAAACAAAAAACAAACCTTTCAGGTTTTTTAGTACAGGAATTAATCAGTCTCATCTGATCACTGATGACCAATAATTACCAACAGAAATTAAATATAAACACAAATATACTCACATGACTGTGTTGTCATCAACCAAAATGTCACAACTATGAGCAGGACAAGAAATGGTCTGAGAAGACAATACAGGAAAACAAAAAGTCAGATAACAATAATGATAATAATAATAATAATAATAATAATAATAATAATAATAATAATAATAATAATAATTCAGATGGTAAGTAGTCTGATTTCAGCAGGCAGAACTGGCTGCTGCTCTTTGTAAGCAACAGAGGTCTTAATGATTTTACTTTTGTTTAATTTGTCTTCACAGCCTCCTGTGTTCCCATGGAAACCAGGGGAGCAAAGAGACACAGGAGCAGGTTTGTGCCAAYCCAAGAGGGAATATGCAAATCTTTGTGCTTGTTGCCTGAACCCAKCATGAAGTTGAAGACTAACTTGTATTTGAAATAAAGTAGGTACCTGTCCCATTCCTTCCTCTATGATTTTGGTGGTCAGATAATCTCCCCAGCACTGCATGCAGAACTTGTGTCCACACTCCAAACCTGTGAAGTACTGAAAGAAAAGCATCCACAAATCATCAACCCCCCTGGTCTTCTGTTAAATAAAGCTTTATACGGACATGTGTTTTTGTCTTTGTCCTCATCAATCACAGTATAGCATCTTCTATTCTATTCCTTTGAGACAATTAGAAGGTCTTAATAAATAAACAAAATAAAATATGTTCTAATATACAACAGTCCATATTTCATATTAAATTGAATTAAAAGTGATCTCCATCCAAACCAGCTGGAATGGGTCAATGTCCTCAGGGTGACTCCGCAAAGACCTCTCATGGCATCATAATACCATGATCGATGAGGCAACACCAGTTTACTTGGAAAAGTACTGATACAAAATGCAATCTGTAGCTGAATCTAGAAATGCAACTTTAAGCCGAGTTGTGCAAAAAAGGAGAAAATATTAGTGCTATGCAAAAAGACCATGATGTTCAGTTTACCAGCTCAGACATGGCTGGAAAGACACTGGACATGTTTTGCAATCAGATCCATCTTTTTTGTCTCCTTTGGAGTAAGGCTGGGCAAAATCATTTAGTGTGCAGTTAGTCAGTAAACCTGTCAGTCATTAGTATTTGTTTTTTTAGTTACTTCTATTGGTGCCATGTGATGATGTATTTTTGTGTGTGACACACAAACTCACTATCAGGCGTGCATGTGAGCCCACTGGTGGAATGAGGTGTGGGACAGCTAATGCTAACCCTACAGATTTGTTGAAACATCAACATAAACCAGAGGCAATGTCAGCCACATGCAAGTGCAGTTGTCATCTATAATTATACTAATCGTTCGCAATTAACAGTGATGGGATTTTTTTTTTGCCAATATTGCCCAACCCTACTTTTGAGAATAACAACAGTGGATCAAAGACAAAACAGACTATCCACGACCACTAAAGTTGTGTGTCTGTGTTGGAATTGAGGGGCATAATAGATGTGCTCTCATACATTTTCATTCCAATGTTTGCTTGAGGACCCTGCAAACGTTTAAAAGCACCATTGATAACAGGGTGCATTTTACATTTCAGGAGAAACTTACACAATTATTACAGCAAAGTCCTTTTCCAGGACATCCATAGTTATATCAAGAAGGAATATGATACAACTCGTGAGACACAGTGTGCCCTATTGGGCCTACCTGCACTCCAGATCTGTCTCCTATTTAAAATGTAATGCATACCATGTAAAAGGGATATAGACCACCAACATGGACCGTTGAACAGCTCAAATCATTTCTTGTCAGCAAGTAAGGACCTTCAGAAGCTACCCTTCAATATCTACTTTGTTTAGTGAACATACTCTGATCTGGACAAAGCAAGCAGCACTTTGAAGAACTATATTCTTTGAAGAACATATTCTTTGATGTCTCCAGTGCTTGGAATTTGATTTAAATTGATTTGCTACGTGAGGAGTTCCAGAAAAATGTGAACGACTTCCTAACTCCTTTGAATACAGGACTTGACAAAGACCACAATTTATGCAACTGAAGGCCTGTGTGTCTCACAGGGTTGCTGGCAACATAAGGGCACCAGAGCAGACTGTATTCCAACCTGTACTTCTGACTTTCTCTGCAACTGGGTCTTGTCAAAAACTAAATATACAGATTCCTCTGCAGCTGTGAGGTGGGTTTCTAATGGAGGTCAAATACAGAGATTTTGTGGTCTGCTTTGCAATGTGACAGAGTTGCAGTTACCTCATCTGGAATGTGAACAAGATAAATAAGACAACAGGAGTACTCCATAAGGAGTAATAATAGAGAAAAATCTACTTTAGTGGGACACAAATACCTGGGAGTTCACTTGACAACAGACAGGGCTAGAAATGCAACCCTCATGCTGTTTACTTTGACATTTGCAGAAAGATTTGGTGTATCTTCAATAACTCTGTGGTCGAGAGTGCTTTTTTTCTTGCACTCTTCTGTTTTGGCAACAGCATCGGAGCCCATGACTTGGGGGAACTAAACAAAGAGATAAATAAGACTGGCTCTGTGCTGGGGACTGTTCGACCCCCTTCAGATAATGGCAGAGACATAAATGCTGCTCAACATAACAGAAAGTGACACTTTCTCTGAACAACAGGCCGATGAACAAATGGTTACCTGTACCTTGTAACTTTTTCAACTTCTACTACTGGAGTCATGACTCTTATAGAAAACACCTTAAAAACAATAGGGAGGAAGCTTTTTGTAACTTCCCTTTAGAATTATTAAGTACTGTTTAATGATTATTTACTGATTTACTCTAAAATGCCTTTTAAGTTCCTAAACAATAAAATAAAACGTCAAAGACATGATGACGTACAACTGTATATATAAAACTGTAGTAATATGAATTTTAAAGAATGGTATGTGTCAAATATTAAATTTGCTTATATTTTCTAAAAACTATGGAGTGGGTCTAGGAAGATGTTCAAAATAATTTCCTCCTTTTAGTTTGGTAGATAAATATTCAAACTAGAAATTCAGTTTTTTATTTTGGTTTAACAAGATTGTGATCAAAATGTGTAAATTTACAATCCCTACTATTGGATCACTTCAGTACTAATGTGCCTTAAACCTACAAAGTGCCATGAGGCTAACAGAGCTTTTGTCTGTAACCATTTGCATCTAGTAGGGAAGAATCGACTCAGGCAGCACAGTGTTGGTGTCACTCTGTAAACTCACCGAGTTGGGGAAATTCAGATAGCAGATCTGACATGGCATGTCTTGTGCCGACGATCTGGTGTTGATTGGAGGACGGATCCGAGGCTTCTTACTGGGGTTGATGACATGACACTCGGAGAAGAGCTTATCCAGATTACCATCAAAATATCTACATAAATTCAAAGCAAAAAATATGTTTAAAAAGACAAGACAGACATCCACACCAACAGGAACTTCGCAGCTGTAATTTGTCAGCTACAACTAGAGCTGGGCGATATGATCAAAATTTTATATCACGGTATTTTCAACATTTTCACCGGTTTCACGGTATTTGATGGTATTTTTCGTTTCATCACAGCTCAGCTGATAATAAAATGTACAAACCCTGCTTATTGACTTTTTTCTTTTACTGTACCTCTGTCTGTGTCTCTGTTTCCCTCCTCTGTGTCTGTTCTTCTCTGACTGGTGGTTGGAGACAGTAGTCACGCATTTTGGTCCAGTAGTGAAGGAGGAGGGTTAAGAAAAGATTATGATCGGGTTTATTGTTTTATGTTATTTATTAAAGCTTATCAGCACGACTCACCTTGCACACCAGTCAATTCCAACTCCACTACGAACTACTTCCCTGTGCTTTTCACAATAGAACCACGTTAAGTCTCCATCAGCATAMCGTCTCCATATTAACTAACCRCGTTAAATCTAACTGTGCACGTCACTGAAGAGGTGTTCACTACATTCAGCGACGGCAAAAACGGGATGTTTTTTTAAACGCCAGTCAATATAAGCAGCGGAATCGCCACCCGCGGCTGCAACTAGCTGCTACAAACATTAGCATGCTAACGCACATAGCGGTGCAGCAAGGAAAAATGTCCCCCGGGAAACAACAGTTCACTGGCGGCCGCGACGAAACGTTCTGCTATTTAAACCGGAATGTCCGGTATTCAAAAAATTCATATCATAACAAAAATAAAAACCGTTATTCGGTACAAAACGGTATACCGCCCAGCACTAGCTACAACTATTCAACAAATGAAGGTACCGAGGAAATTGTTTTACCTTTCCATAAGCTTTTCTTTATCCCAGTTAAAGTGGCTGAGAAGAATGCGTGTTATTGTTGCAGGATTCTAAAATGAAAAAGAAAAAAATAATAAATAGAGAGAAATTATTTTAATATAGTTGATGAAAAAAATACTGCTATTTTTGTTACGGTTTGAAAATCCTCAGGTGGAACAATAAACCTTAATATAATAAACCAAAAATTTAAAAATGAAGTAGACTCGAAAAGACTTTTAGCCATTATTATTGCTACAAATTTACAGGATAAAAATGTAATATTTAAAACATAATTAGCTTAAAATTTCTGATTTGCACAAAATTTTATTTCATTAAAATAAACATGAAAAAATCAAGTTGGTATTACAAAGCAATTTAACAAACTGTACCAATACACTGTCAAATAAAAAGTAAATAAATGTTTTTAACCAAGTTTGAACTTTTATTAACTACAAGGACTTTTCGTGTTAAAGAGAATTGCAGGACAGGAATCTGTTTTGCTTTGAATTTTAACACATTTTTCTTTATTTTTCCAATTTCATTCAGTGTGGTGAAACACAAAAAGAAAACTGTGCTTGTCGATTTTTTATTTTTTCCTGTAACTGAAGGAGTGCGACAAAAACATTGGTGCTGAGGTCCCTATATGTGCCTGCTATCACCAGCTAAAAAGACTGAACGCAAGCATTATCATTCTGAAGATGAATACATTTTATTGCATGATGAGAGCTTAAGCAATATGTAGTACAACATAAATTTTGTTTAAAGTGTGTTAAATTTCATAACAAGCATTTCAGACTTTATTCTGACATTAGTAAAATTATGTCACATGAACTAGAATACATTATTGTTCAGCACTGTGGCCTCACAGCTGAAGAACACTCTGTCTTGTTCTCTGATATTATGATTAGTTGAAGGAATTGTCTCAGTGTAAAACAAACAATATCTGTTTTCCTCCAGGCAGTAACAGCTGAAAAACTCATGCAACCAATACAAGTGAAATACAATGCATAACGTCAGGTTAGGTGATATCTTGGTCTATCAAGTTAGATCAAATTATTAATGAATCTTGCTCAAATATGCATTAAGTCTTAAAACTAATGATGTACTTTTTAGTATAACAACAACAAACACAACTTCCCACATCAGAGCCACAGAGTTGATGGTCACAACACTACAGCCATCATTAAACTAACTTTCAGATTAAACTGATCCAAACTTTATCACGGCAGGCTCCACACTGAAACATTCAGTTGACACTAATTTTAGGAGATTATATTTGACATCTAGAAGCAGCGGTGCTACATGAAAGTAAGTCACTGGGCTGTTTTTTTAAATGAATTGTTATAACAATTTTTTTTATTTGTGTTACAGCTTCTCAGCAGGGTGAAGCAAAAATCAGAGTCCATGTGCTGGCGGATGTTTTGTGTAAGACCGAGAGTTTTAGGGAGTTTGTCCTCTTTGTAACTTTATGTAGGGTTTGGAAACTGTGAATGTTTGTACGGTGACTGGATAGTGTGGGGGGTATGTTCTTTCCTGCAACACACAACAATCCAGATTTCCTGATAAAACAGAGAAATGGAGTAAGCTTGCAAGACAAATATTTTCTCCTTTCGTCAAATTAAACTTACAAAAAAAAAAGGATTGCGGTGTGTTGGATGTAGCAAAAAATCTGCAGGGAAAACTAGTCTGATGACTCACTGATGAGCTTTAAACTAGCGATGAAAATCCCACCTCCTCTCAGTTAGCAAGATCTTTGTGCTCATCTCAGGAAAAGAACAGAAACATATCCCAGTAGCCTCCTCACTTGGCAGTATTTATAGCTTTTATATTTACAGTAAGACATAGTCATAGATGTATGTGGGCATAAATCATGTCGATTCTGAAACTGTTTTAAAGCACACATACTAAACATTATTTTAATACAACACACATTTTGATAAGAGAATTTTACCAGCAGAAACACTAAACTTTCGTTAAAATTGAAGCATAAATTTTGTGCTAGTGACCCAAGAAAGTATGTTTTGTGGTTTGTATTTATTTTTTAATACACTTAAATTTCTGGTTTCTCCATATATGGTAATTAACAGTTTTAAATATAAAAGTTTGCCCTTTGTGCTGGCATCATATTGTTTTCCACTCTAATGCAAAGCCTAGTCCCAAAGAATAATAAGTTCTGTGTAAAAACATGTAAATAAAACAAAATACTTCTTGAAGGGGAGGTGGAAACACTAATTCTAATGTGCAATATATTATTCACGCTATTACATGGCTTTTTAGATTATTGCAAATAAGTCAGGCCCCTAAATTATATTTAATAGAATAACATCACATGACTGGGCATTTGCAAATTCTCACATCCAAGCTTATTTAAGAGTCATAATGCTCTCCTCTTTTTGTGTTTGATGTGTACCAACTATTCAGTATTTAGTTTTTTTTAAATAATTAAATAAGAGTTTTAAAATGATTTATTCCAACATTTTCTGCAGGAAATGACACCTTCAAAACCACTCAAACTGTTAAGAGGAACGCAACTTTTCCTTAAAATGGGCCAGTTTGAGAAATTCATTTAGAATAAAACTGAATTTAAAGGATATAAGAAAAGTTTAACTTAACCATTGCTGAATATAAATATTATTCAGAGAAGAAAACGATTAAAGTTTCTGTGGTATAAGAAAAAAATGAAACTGCCCRTCTTTTGAATGACAAGAGATGAAGGTGTGGCTGCAATTTACATTTACAATGTCCTTATTTATCAGTAAGAGCAATGAGAAGATGACTTTAAAAAAACAGCTCGTTGCAAACAGAAAGCTAGATGTTAGTGTTTTAAAAAAGACCATTTTCTGTATTTGTTCTGTCCAACCTTCGTGCGACGAAATGGAGGCCTGAATGAACTCTATGCTAATACTGAGATCTCTTTCAGGTCACGGATTGTATTCCCACGTTTAATCAAAACTATGATATTTTAGTATGATCATTACACTTTTATTGGAAGTACTGTGTTTTAATTTGTTAACAACACCGTAACAAACCAAGCTCGACAACTAAGCCTTCATAGTCCAACACTGAATTACCACTGACTGCAGCGCAACTGGTTATACATTTAATTAAATCAAGTTTCAAATTATCAGTCGACTCATTGGAGCTCACGTTTTACGTTCGCCATTTCGCAAATTGTACAAGGAAAGATGTTTGTTTTTTTATTTCCAAGACGGCGCTAATAGCTAGGTAGCAAAAAGCTAACATTAGCTTAGCAAACGCAACTGGCAACTTCTCAACAGGGATTAGACTACTTCCTGGAATAAAACGCCGAAGAAAATTAGATTTTCGGACACATATATGCACTGACCATATTCATATCTTGAATCCTACACAATCGTAAATAAGAGTAATGGCGTTAAACAAATTCTGAATCTCATGAAGTTCACCTTTCAAACTACTGTTAAAGCTAACGGTTGAGCTGACGTTTTTGGCCTTCTTAGCAATCCCGAACCCCGGTCTTTCCTGACGCTGGCATACCACAATACCTACCTGGATGACCTCGTTGACCTCCCTGATACACTCCACCATATGCTGAAGGATCTGTTCGGCGGTTAAAACCTCGAAACGGTAGTCTTCCTCGGCTTCTTCGCCGGGACCGTGGCCACCTACACCAGTGTCGCCGCCGTCGTCTCGGTCCCCAACGGCGACCACGGGATCGACCAGCTCAACCTCACCGAGCTCCAGGGTGTCGTCCTCGGGCTCCTCTTCGGCGCTGTCCTCGCTGCATTCGTCCTCCTCGTCGTATTCATAGTTATAACCCTCGTCTGAGTCCATTCCTAGGGTGTTCACCAGCTTGTTGCGAGCACACCTAAAGGTTTAGAGTGCGAGATGTGGGTTGCGGAACAACACTAGAAGCAATATTTCCGAGCCTGTTTTTCAGCTGCAGCGAAAATAACAACAAAACGTCGCCGGTGCTAAGCCAACAAAGAGACGCAGCGTCACCAGCTGACGACGGCCTTACGTCAGATGAAGATGTGAAGAAAAAAAATATGACTGGCTTTTAAATTCGTGCTAAACTTAAAACTGGGTCAGTAAATAAATAAAACTAAACAGGTTACCCTGTCTAGTCTACTGCCTTCTCATAAAGTGACACAGCTCTGTGGCATTGATTGGCCAGTGTGTGTCATGCAGAAGTAGCTAGCCCAGTTGGCTAGTTAGCAAAACAAAGATTTCACAATTTATGGAAAATTACTGAAACAAATTCATACACTAAATTTATAATAGTTTTAATTATAATCGATATTATTAGTACTAATATGAAAAAATATTGAAATTGTAGTAGTATTGCCGGTAACTAATAATAATAGTCCTTTTTTTGCAGCAGGCTGTAATTATGGAAGCCCCTAACTGCCATACTAAATATAAGTGGCTGGCCCTCAGTTGGTTGTCAGGTAGCAGAAATGAAAGCAACCACTTTTCACAAGCAAACACCTTTACAAAATGTTTACCAATCACACAATATGTGGCACATTTTTTATGAGAGGTAGTTCTAACAGTTTGTCACAAGGTAAATGGTAAATAGACTGTAGCGCCTTTCTATCCAACCAGGATACTAAAAGCTCTTCATACTACAATCTGTGTCCTCATTTACCCATTCATACAGCACTCTACAAAGCTAACAAATCATCTCTTTGGAAACTAATCAGTGCTAATCACATAAAATCCATAATCAATGACATTCATTATGGATAATATTATGGAAATAATAACACTTGAAATAATAAATACGAATTCTATATAAGTCATATTAATGAAATGCTATGTAATATTTAAGATAATATCTCAGAATTATGATGTGGATCAGTGTTCTCAAACTATTGTGTCTCAACCCCCTAGCCTACACAGAGTATTTGGTTTGAAAAAAAGGAGTAAAACATAAGGCTGTGGCTGTGCCATCAATAACAGATTGAATACATTTTTCAACTAATAAACAATAAATAATCATCAAACTTGTTGGAAAATGCAAATGACTTTTTCTCAAACTGAAACCATGAAATTAATTATTTTAAAATTTAAATATAATATTTTATTGTTAATATATATACGGCCTCTCGAGACACAGTGAGTAGTGTGGAGAGACAGACAGATAGAAGCAGAGGCACAGAGACAGGACAGGTTGTTCTCTGTGTTTCCTGTTGTTGCAATAAAACTCAGCTGATCATCTCATGAAGTACCTTCATTCTTGGACCACGTATTTCTGTCTTTGTTAAATAAATATTGCCATAACAGT